AAAAAAAAAAAAAAAAAAAAGAAAAAGAAAAAAAAAAAGGAAAAACACTTCCAAAGAACCACTCGCCAGCAACGTGCCCAGAATTTCTTCTGCTTTTTAAACACACACCGTATTCTTAATTAATTTTATGCCTTGAGAGTCCAACTGCAAAACCCCAGCTATCGCTTCCGCTCGCCTTTTTGTGTCCTTTTCTTCTCCTTCTCCTTCCGCTCCTGCTTGGCCAACTTGTCCTTCTCCCGCTGCAGCTTATCTTGCTCTTTTTTCTTCTGGAACTCGTCTCGCAGCAGCTCCCGTTCCAGCTTCCTGGCGTTCAGGACGTCCTCCACGTTGGTGTTTCGGAACAGCGCTGGGGCACGTTAAGGGCAGGTGACACTCAGATGGAACCGTTTTTGGAGCTCTAACCGAGACACCACCTGTGTGCTGCCCTCACCCCCTGACTCCTGCTTCGGCTCCCTCACCGGGCGGGTCAGGAATTCGGGAACGGAGAAGGAAAAAGGAATCCCTCTTTCCAAACAGAAAAGTCACGTAGGGTAAATGCATGCTCCCTAAAAAGGATTTTTTCCTGGAAAAATCAGGTTGCCTACAGGTTCTTAAGACTGATACATAAAAATTGATTTGTAAAACCTCTACAAACCTAAGAGGAAGAAAAGCTACACCTGCAGTGCAGGTTCCTCGCGTGGATCCACTATGGCTGTGTGTGTCACACGTGTGTTTTCACATGCACATACATGTGTGTGTGTACCTGCAGGCAGTGACTAGAGCTGACAGCCTGGGGGCACGCAGCCTCCCCCGGGGCTCCCCACGGGTCCCAGGTGACGGTGCCACCCAGGGGAGGCTGCAGGGCTGGGAACAGAGGGGGCAGCTCAGCCCAGGACCACCACGTCCCCGTCTCTGCTGCAGCCCCCAGGGGCTTTGGGAAGAACATTAGAAGGAGCGAGTGGGCGTCTCCTCTGCTCTCTCTTCCTCCTAACCATCAATAATGCAGGGACAAGAGTAATTTAGGTTTCCCTGTTCAATTATATGATAAAACCCGCTTCCATCTTAAACCTGGTGAGCTCAAGGAACATCCCTAATCACTGTGTTGGGAAAAACACGGGATACTCGGTCCTTGTTCACCTTAAAGTTGAGCTCACCACAGCCTCACGAGTTTCACAGGTTTGTTTCAGTTGCACTTTTAATAAATCCTGACGCAATTCACCTCTCCGAACACCAGATACCATTAAGCTGATGTTCTGGGAGAATTACTGGTATTAAGAGCATGTTCTGTGAAGCTCCTGAGAGGGTGGAAGAGGGAAGGAAGGAAAGGAGGAGAGAAAGGAGAACGATGGGATCAGTCCCAGCTGTGCACGTGGGACAGGGAGCAGAGGGGATCTCTCACCTTTATTACCAGCAGAGTCAGTAAATGGAAAGAGAAATGACTCACCAAACTTAAAAGGTGCCCTAAAGAAAGGGGGAGTGTCAGCCCGGAGAAGGACGGATGGGAAAGTCACCAAAGCCCTGGGTCAGTGACAATTCAAAGGATACATTTCTCTGATCCAATATTTACTGCTGTCCCAATCGATCCGTCCTGTTCATCCTCGCCAGTGAGAGAATTAAGGAAATACAGACATCAGTAATGAACTTAAAACACGTCAAATAAGAGAAGAAGCTAAAAACTAAGGCAGGCACTCGAGGAGCAGGAAAGCACAACCCCCCGTGTCCAGCGCCCTCCTGCTGCCCGGGGACAGGCAGGGCTCCCTGCTCTTCAAGGAAGAGGGAACCTTAACTCTCCCACTCTCCACATCCTCTCTCTAAGGAGGATCTTTTCAGCAGATTTCTTGTCAGAAAGCAAGAAAGAAATAAAATACATTAAGTACTGTGCACAGAGGTATGGGGAGGGGATTCACTGCTCTTCTGCCACACACCTGGCCCAGGCAAACCCTTCCAGCCACACAGGGCTCCGCGGGGAGTGTGGGAAGGGCAGAGAAACACACTGGAAGGAGCATCTGCTCATGGCACTCCACCAACTAGGAGCTTCCATGCTATTTTATCTTGGAGAAGGAATTTCACTGAATTTCACTGAATTTTAGAGTTGGAAGGGACCATAGAGATCATCTAGTCCAACTCCCCTGCTGAAGCAGGATTGCCCAGAGCTTGTCAGAGCATGTTACTCAGGAGCATCCAGGTGGGGCTTGAAAATCTCCAAGGAAGGGGACTCCACACCCTCCCTGGGCAGCCTGTTCCAGGGCTCTGTCACCCTCACTGTGAAGAAGTTTCTCCTCATATTTGAGTACAACCTCTTCTGTTCCAACTTGTGCCCGTTGCCCCTCGTCTTCTTGCTGGGAACCACTGAAAAAAGTCTGGCTCCCTCCTCCTTCAACCCACCCTTGAGATACTTGTAGGCATTGATAAGGTCTCCCCTCAGCCTTCTCTTCTCCAGACTAAAGAGTCCCAGCTCTCTCAGTCTCTCCTCATAAGGGAGATGCTCCAATCCTTGAATCATCTGAAAAGACTGAAAAGTTTCTCCAATTCTCCCCACCAGACACTGCCAAGCTGGAAAGGAGTTTTAGGAGATTTCTGACAACCACTGACTCTTGACTGGGTCAGGAAAAGGATATTCCTCCTCATCGGTCACGTTGGCGTACTGGGCCAGGAGGGCAGCTTTCCTCTGCTTCTCCTCCTGGGACACCTCCTTGGGCTTCACCACGATCCTGGCCTGTTTCTCCATCATGCTGGCGAGGGCCTGGACCTCATCTGGCAAAGAGAGGAGTCAGAGCATCAGTCAGTGCCCCGCAGCCGCCGAGTCCCAGCTGGCAGATACCACAGCAGATCCCACACGCTGCTGCTTCCTCCGTCCACAGTCCCCAAAGGGCACCCAAGGGCTGTGTCCCGTCTGCAGGGAGGCAGATGTCGCCGGGGACGAGTGCTCTGAGCCAACGGGAGAGGTCTCACCCAAAAATACCCCCCAGGAGCCCTCTCAGAAGGTCAGCAGCGGCGCTGCCAGCGCGCAGGGAGCCGGCCGGTGTGGGAATTCCAGCCGCAGGCGCTGGGGGGGCAGGGAGGGGGGGCAGGATGTGACACCAGCCTCTCCTCCTCCTGTGACACCAGCCTCTCCTCGCCAGAGGAGCCCCCCCAGCTCCACGCAGCCACCATCAGATGTTGTTTTTCCAGGAGGAAGGGAAGTTTCACAATGAAACTTTGAAATCCGCAAGGCTCTTGCTAATGAAAACCCATTTTACCCCAAATTGCCTTCTCTTCTGGTTAAGAGAGGGAAAGTTTATTTAACCGTGTCCTTAAAGCCCCGTTCAATAGGAATTCTGAAAACCCAAAGTGACAGATCATGTAACATTCTCTTCTCTACCTGGGGAGACAAAGAGCTGATGGACCTTTTAATGTTGACTTTCTGCTTCCTGTTTCTTAAAATGACATTTGGGTTCTGACACCGATTTTTTTGTTTGTTTGTTAGTAACTTAACCTTAGGATTCTGTTATTCAAGTAGATATTAGCTTCACTAGGGATTTATCCTTTTATGGTGAAATAATCAAATCCTTGCATTTCTAACCACCCCGACACAAACTGCTGCCTTCTTTCTCTGGCAACTCAGAGAACTCCCTGCGCGTCACCAATGGGCTCCTCCTGCTCATACCAGCAGCAGCTCCAGCAATTCCAGCCACTTGTGCCCAAAAGTTGGATTTATTTTATTTAATGCAGAGAATAGTGTAACTTTTCCCCGTCCCCTGCCAAAGGCAAGGTCAGGCCAAGGACAGGCTGCTGTGCATTTTCAGGGAAAGCCACCAACCTGCTGTGTGGTTCTATAAAGAGGAGGTGAGGTGTGTCTGTGAGCTGCTGAGGGTTGGACACGAGAAGTGCTGTAAAAAAGCAGGCCTCATGAGAAGGGCTCAGTGTTTCTGGGATGGCCTCGCAGCTCCAGCAATTCCAGCCACTTGTGCCCAAAAGTTGGATTTATTTTATTTAATGCAGAGAATAGTGTAACTTTTCCCCGTCCCCTGCCAAAGGCAAGGTCAGGCCAAGGACAGGCTGCTGTGCATTTTCAGGGAAAGCCACCAACCTGCTGTGTGGTTCTATAAAGAGGAGGTGAGGTGTGTCTGTGAGCTGCTGAGGGTTGGACACGAGAAGTGCTGTAAAAAAGCAGGCCTCATGAGAAGGGCTCCGTGTTTCTGGGATGACATCACTCAGTGACAATATTCTGTTTGCAACCAGAACCAACGAATAAAGGCAAAGCAAACAAAAAGCAGGATTTAGCCCAAAGGGATGTTACAGTGTTGGGGGCTACGGTGAGGTCCGTGCAGGTGGGAGGTCACTGACTGATCCATGAGGAATGCTTAAACCAGCAAAATCCCTCCAGCACAGACTCCAGAGCAGAACTCAATCACCAGAACCAGCCCCTGCGATGAGCAAGAACGAGACGAAGCTCTTTGCTCCCGAACCACCAGCTGGAGAGGAGGGAGAACTCAGGGGGTGCAAAGACACGGGGGGGCTACAGGCGACGGGGAAAGGAGCAGCGTTAGCGCAGCGGCTTCACAGAGCCTCCCCCCACGAGCATTTATGGAAAAAAAAAAAAAAAAAGAAGATAATTTTAAGAAAAGATTTCAAACAAGGAAAATAAGGATGCTTTCCTGATAGGTACCGGGACCTTTTCCTGGGGCGAGCAGCAGAAGGGACAGCACCGCTCCCCGCAGGTGCGGTTTAGGTATAAAAACCACTCGTTTTCCAGAACAGTGTAAACTGGAGTAGCACCAGCATTTTATAACAACTGCACTGGCTGCCATTGCCACATAGGGAGCATTTAATGGAGAGAAAGCCCAGATATTTTGTGAAAGAAAAAAAAAAAAAAAAAGAAGATAATTTTAAGAAAAGATTTCAAACAAGGAAAATAAGGATGCTTTCCTGATAGGTACCGGGACCTTTTCCTGGGGCGAGCAGCAGAAGGGACAGCACCGCTCCCCGCAGGTGCGGTTTAGGTATAAAAACCACTCGTTTTCCAGAACAGCGTAAACTGGAGTAGCACCAGCATTTTATAACAACTGCACTGGCTGCCATTGCCACATAGGGAGCATTTAATGGAGAGAAAGCCCAGATATTTTGTGAAAGGAAATTTCAAAAATCCTACAGAAAAAAAATAAACAAATGAGCTTTTTGTCTGCAGGATCATGACCCCAAAGAGCAGCAGAGTGTGAGCAGACAGCCAGAAGTGAAACTACTCATCCTCGTTTTGTATTTCCAGACAAAACAGTAAATAAGCAGCAGAGGCAATGAGAAGCAAGTGAGGTCTGCAAACACATGGGTAGAGTTGGTTTTAACTCCTCACGGGACGAACACACAGCTCCCAGCTGGGCGAGGCCCGGCAGGACCCCATAGCAGGGGGAAAGGCACAGCCAGCAGAGACACTACCTTCTTTTTCCTCTTTGGCGTCAACAATCTGAGACTCAGACCACTTCTCCACCACTTCCCTGCAAACATCGTTCAAGACATCTTCTTCCTAGTAAGGGAAAAGAGACTTCTCAGTCTTGGAGCAGAGTTAAAGGAGCATGAATCAGGTATGAAAAGCACCGGCTGCGGAGAATCTGAACACCCAACGACGAGGCCCAGCAGGTCACCCACAGCAGGGGGAAAGGCACAGCCAGCAGAGACACTACCTTCTTTTTCCTCTTTGGCGTCAACAATCTGAGACTCAGACCACTTCTCCACCACTTCCCTGCAAACATCGTTCAAGACATCTTCTTCCTAGTAAGGGAAAAGAGACTTCTCAGTCTTGGAGCAGAGTTAAAGGAGCATGAATCAGGTATGAAAAGCATCGGCTGCGAAGAATGTGAACACCCGGCGCTGAGCTCACAGCTTTGCACACTCAGGAACTTACACACTGATACAAGTCACACACGCAATTGTTGACACAGCTCAGGACTAGAACAGCCCTGACCCACCACACAAACACACGGTGTCCAGGCTGTGTCCAACAGCCCCGCGCGGGGCGACGCCGGGTCACCGCGGGGGGTGAAGTTTCCTGTGACAGAGCTCTCACAACACACACTGGGTCACAGCAGTGCAACAGCCCTGCGAACGCCGAAGAAAGGCAGGCAGGGTGTCTCCACTCCAGAAATCTACCACCCAGCATTGTCTCTCCTCTCAAGCAAAGCTGCAGAGAAGCAACTCAGAGGCCACCTCCGATGGCCAGTCTCACTGAAGCGAATAGATGAGGCTGGATGCAACTGGTCAGGGCCAGAACAGAGCTGGAACCACTTTGGATGTACTGAGAGACCATCTCCTCCCACCCACAGGGATACTCTTGTCCCCCTTGACCTGCCCTGCAGCATTAACCATGATCTAGAGGTGCCAGTGGAATGTGTTCACACTGTTCTCCTCTGCTGAAGAAGACTTTAAAATGCAGGGAGAAAGGGAACACACCAACCAGCCACAGGACGGTATTCCCACCACCACATCACAGAAGCACAGACTGGCAGGGGTTGGAAGGGACCTCTGGAGACCATCCAGTCCAACTCCCTGCCAGAGCAGGGCCACCCACAGCAGGTCCCACAGGAACGTGTCCAGGTGGGTTGGAATGTCTCCAGAGAAGGAGACTCCACCACCTCCCTGGGCAGCCTCTGCCAGGGCTCTGCCACCCTCACAGCAAAGAAGTTCCTCCTCATGTTGAGGTGGAACTTCTTATATTCAAGTTTGTGCCCATTTCCTCTTGTCCTGTCCCTGGGCACCAATGGGAAAAGCCTGGCCCCATCTTCCTGACACCCACACTTGAAGTATTTATAGGTGTTGATCAGATCCCCCCTCAGCCTTCTCTTCTCCAGACTAAAAAGACCCAAGTCCCTCAGCCTCTCCTCCTAAGAGAGATGCTCCAGGCCCCTCGTCATCTCTGTAGCCTCCACTGTACCCTCTCCAGCAGTTCCCTGTCCCTCTGGAACTGGGGAGCCCAGAACTGGTCCCAGTGCTCTAGATTTGGCCTCACCAAGGCACAGGGGCAGGATGACCTCCCTCCACCTGCTGGCCACTTTCTTCTTAATGCTCCCCAGGAGACCATCGGCCTTCTTGGCCACAAGGGCTCATTGCTGGCCTATGGGCAACTTGTTGTCCACCAGGACTCCGAGGTCCCTCTCTGCAGAGCTGCTCTCCAGCAGGTCACCCCCAACCTGTACTGGTGCAGGGGGTTATTCCTCCACAGGTGCAGGACCCTGCACTTGTCCTTGGTGAACTTTATAAGGTTCCTCTTGACCCAACTCTCCAGCCTGTCCAGGTCTCGCTGTATGACAGCACAGATCCTTCTCCTGTGGAGTCCCACTGTGACTCTGTCTCCTCAGTGCCTACGTACACTGATCAACACCAGAATTCGAGTTCCAGCAGCAGAGAGGTGACACACTATCACACCTCATCACACACAGCGACAGCCTTTCTTTGAGAACTGCCCAATACACGAGTTCAGGTTTGGGAGCTGAGTCCAGGGAAGAAACACGATCCTGATGAAAGAGAAAAGTGCTGTGAAGAGTTACAGGCAACATCACCGGGAACGTTCACCGGGAAGACGTATGTGTAGGACGGGCAGGATGTTTCTTTTTATTTATTTATTAATTTATTTTGCTCATTAACACTAAATCAGTTTTGCTACAGCTTGAGAGGCAGAGGGGCTTGAGGAGAGCTGATACCCAACAGAAACTTGTTGCCCAGGGACACCTGAGGAACGAGCAGGCTGGGACTGAGACACCCCGACCCCCTGCACCTCCACATCACCCGTGTTACTGCTCAGGCTGCGTCCAGCACTGCCTGCAGGTCCCTGCGGTCTCCTGCTCTGCTCTGCACCCAACAGTGACAGTGACCTCTTACAGAGCTCTGCTGCCAGCCCTGACCATCCCCTGCCCTGCCTAGGCCAAAAGCTAGCTCCGAGAAGCAGAAAACCTGATGAACTCTGCCTAGAAAAGAATTTCTTGTAAAGTTGTGTAGGAACCAGACCTCTGCCCCCTTCCCAGCCCACACAGCGGGTGGGCAGTAATGGGCATTTCAAACACCAAACACCTGTGCACAGACTTCCCACCAGAGACACAATGATCCCACCCTCATCTTGAGAACTTGGGCACTGGGTGCCTAGAAAAAATACTTCCAATCTCCAGACAGACTGGAGATTAGTCACCCAGCAGAGCAAAGCTCAAGTCAAAAACCACCGAGTTCTCCCCAGCTGTGGGACAGACGAGGAGATAAAAACATCCACAAAAATCTCTCCACCTTTTGCTCCAATACAAATAAAGAGCAACTCGGAATAAAGTCTCCCACCCTGAGCCTACTACAGCAGAGCACAGAATTCCCCACGTAACAGGCAGACAGCAGGACCAACAGAGACTACTACAGCAGAGCACAGAATTCCCCACGTGACAGGCAGACAGCAGGACCAACAGCGAGCAACACCATCACATGGAGCAACCCAGCACCACGTTCACAACCACCATTCAGGGCCGTACACACAACGAACATACACGGCAACACCGTCACACGGCAACACCGTGGCCCAGCACCGAGGTCACAGGCACTGTTCAGGGCCGTACACACAACGAACACGGTCCCTGGGCTGGGGAGGAGACACTGCAAGGACAAACACACGGGACACTCGAGGCTGTGGGAGGAGATGATCTGCAAACAGAGAAACAGCAGAAGGACAAAGGGTTTGTCATTCCCACCAATATCAGGCTCCACTTTAAGAAGTCAACACGCCTTTAACCCGAGCAGATCCAGAGGACAGGCTGCTGCTGCCAAGGTCAGGGTGGTTCAGGTCTGGAAGAACCCACTGACCCCACTCCCACCAGATGACACACATCCTCCCAGGAACATGCTGGGTGAGCAGAGCAGCAACGAGGATGATGGGCACATTTCAAGTGCCAGCGAGAGGAACCCTTCCAGCCCTCAGAGACACAGCTGAGTCATGAAAGGATAATGAAAGTCAGCATGGGTCAAGGACAGGGAAGACATGAAGGGTTTTAAGGGCCAGAAACACTCACAGTAAAAGGGTCCTGCTCGATGGAGGTGCTCCCCAAGCGTGGGGAATACTGGCCTGCTGGAATCAAGGCTGGCAAAACTCTGAGCAACTTAAGCCAAGAGAGAAGGCTGGGAGAGACGTACTCCCTGGGTGCCCAGTTTCAGTGTGCAGGAGGAAGAAAATCAGTCAAGAGATGACAGCGAGCAACACCATCACATGGAGCAACCCAGCACCACGTTCACAACCACCATTCAGGGCCGTACACACAACGAACATGGTCCCTGGGCTGGGGAGGAGACACTGCAAGGACAAACACACGGGACACTCGAGGCTGTGGGAGGAGATGATCTGCAAACAGAGAAACAGCAGAAGGACAAAGGGTTTGTGATTCCCACCAATATCAGGCTCCACTTTAAGAAGTCAACACGCCTTTAACCCGAGCAGATCCAGAGGACAGGCTGCTGCTGCCAAGGTCAGGGTGGTTCAGGTCTGGAAGAACCCACTGACCCCACTCCCACCAGATGACACACATCCTCCCAGGAACATGCTGGGTGAGCAGAGCAGCAACGAGGATGATGGGCACATTTCAAGCACCAGCAAGAGGAACCCTTCCAGCCCTCAGAGACACAGCTGAGTCATGAAAGGATAATGAAAGTCAGCATGGGTCAAGGACAGGGAAGACATGAAGGGTTTTAAGGGCCAGAAACACTCACAGTAAAAGGATCCTGCTCGATGGAGGTGCTCCCCGAGTGCAGGGAATGCTGGCCTGCTGGAATCAAGGCTGGCAAAACTCTGAGCAACTTAAGCCAGGAGAGAAGGCTGGGAGAGACGTACTCCCTGGGTGCCCAGTTTCAGTGTGCAGGAGGAAGAAAATCAGTCAAGAGATGACAGAGGAGTGGCCATAAGTGGGAAGAAAAATAAACAGGAAAAGAGCAAGAATGAAGGCAGAGACCTGGGCAACCTTCGGATGAGGGTTTGAGCAGTAAGAAACAAACCAGGTGTCTGTTTATCAGTGGAGACAGGCCTATGAGGGGTGAAGAACACAAAAGTGAGGTGTTCTAGTGATCCCAGAAACAGGACAAAAAAACCCGCCTTGGAGCTGGAGAGTCCTTGTATTCAGAAAGGAAGAAAGACCAAGATGGCAGTGTGTGAACAGACAGGAATGAAGCACAAGAAGAGAAACAGGATGGGGCAGCCTGGGCCAAACAACCCTTATGGAAGCAGAAAGAAGCTGTGTCTCACGGTGAGGCCTTGGCTGCAGCACCCTCCTGTCCAGCTGCAGGCAGGACGGAGCCCTCCAGCACAGCCCTGGTCCTGGGGGACTCACATCCTTGTGTGAGAGCAAACGCAGTAACAGCAGCAGAGCTCTGAGAGCTGAGGGTGCAACGACCAGTTACCTTCATCCAGTATTCCCCACACAGAGAGGAAACGATGTTGGTTTAGAGATTATCAAATACAGACAACAATTAACTCCAGAAAATACAAGTGATCCGGAATCTGTCTGGTTTAAAGAGAAGAACTGAACAGAAACAGATCTCAGTCCTAAGTTTCTTGATTTGAAATTGTTATACCTTAATAAACTCTGGCAACTAATGAATGACACTGCCAGGACTGAGGAACCATAGACATGAATGCATAGGTCGCCTGGAATTTATTTCTCTGAGGGTTGTCAAAAACAAACAAATGACCTGGAATTTGTGAAAAGAACAAAGAGAAAAGACTTGCCAAGAAACAGCTCCACATTAACCAAATAAAATATTGCTTCAAGCCAATACAGAAATAAGCACAGTCTACAAATAAAGAAAAAAATGCACCGACTTCAAAAAGTAATTAGAAAGTTGAAGGGTTCAAGAGGCAAAAAGGTTTTACAAGAATTGTAGAAAAATCAAACCAAGTTCAAACTTGCAAGCGAAGCCAAAGTCAGCTGTGACTGTGACACAAAGAAGAAAACAAAGAGAAGAAATGGGGCTGTGGTGCAACACATACAGGATAAGGGCAGCCCAGAACTCGAGGAACATCAAAACTCTGCACCAGTTCCCTCACAAGAGAAGAGTAACTGGGCACTAAAGAGGAACGGGGACATGTCAGCGGGGCAGGGGACACACCACACACCTCCAGAGACAGCACAGCCCGGGCTGGCCAGTCCACAGCTGGTGTGGTCAAGGATCTGACATGGGCTCTGCCTTGGGTGATGAAATGGAGCGAGTCTGGTAATTGCAGGCAAGTTAATTATCCTCAGCTGTTTCAGAACAGCATTTTCCAAAGATGTTTTGCTCTCCCCTAACGCCAGCAGGATGCACTATTCACTCCTCTGATTATTTCAGGTACAAAGCCACACTGGCAGTGACGTTGCTGTGAGAAAGCACCTTACCAGCGGTGCCCGAGGTGGGGAAGGGATGGCTGAGGAGTGAAGAGGTGCTCTGGCTCTTAGGAGAAATGATTTTAAATGGCACACCGTCAGTGAATGGAAGGAATCACATTATATAGTTACCTACAGTAACAGCTGATTGTAGTGACCAAGTCCCTTTGGGTTTTGTGCTCCCCTACAGACATTTTGGGGAGGAAATCAGTGATGGCCACTGAGCACTTCTTCAACAGGAGCACACACTAATTATTTCACATTTTACACTAAAAAACATCTATTTATGGAATAGCCCGAGATACACATAGAATCACATGGATTGGAAGGGACCTCTGGAGACCATCCAGTCCAACCCCCTGCCAGAGCAGGGCCACCTAGAGCAGGTCCCACAGGAACGTGTCCAGGTGGGTTTGAATGTCTCCAGAGAAGGAGACTCCACCACCTCCCTGAGCAGCCTCTGCCAGGGCTCTGCCACCCTCACAGCAAAGAAGTTCCTCCTCGTCTTGAGGTGGAACTTCTTATGTACAAGTTTGTGCCCATTTCCTCTTGTCCTGTCACTGGGCACCACTGAAAAAAGCCTGGCCCCATCCTCCTGACACCCACCCTTGAAGTATTTATAGGTGTTGATCGGATCCCCCTCAGTCTGCTCTTCTCCAGGCTAAAAAGACCCAAGTCCCTCAGCCTCTGCATAAATCCTACAGCCCCCAAAGGAAATGACTGTAGAAGAGAAATTGCTTTCTGCACTCTCCTAACTCTCTTCCAGAGATTTTTGGAGGGCAGAGGCAGCACTGCCCACCCCTGCGAGCTCCAGCCCCTGCCCTCCCACTGTCCCAGCTGGGAGACAGACCCTGCTCCAGCCTCATCCAAGGGATCCAGAGGACAACACGGTGCTGTGAGGAACGAGACCTGCTGGAGGAGGGATGACCACGGAACACAGCTACTGCTGAACTGCTCTGAAGGAATGTGTTGTTAGAAATCATCTCTTAAACTACATTTAGGAACCACCCAGCTCGCAGGCTGAACCCCGTGGCCTCCACACAACTAAAAATCAACCCCTTTTCCTCCCCCGCCGAACAGCCACGCTGCACAGCGGCTGCCCAGGCTCCCGGGCACCCCCAAAACCGGCACCAAAGAGAACCCCAACCAGCAAAAAACCCCAACTAAACCCCGAGCACCCGGAGGGCCCAGTTATCCACCAGTTGGCTCCAGGGGAGCGCTGCCCGCCCGTTCCCCACCGACCCTCCGAGCCCAGCGAGGCCGCGACCACCCACCCCCTCCGAGGGGGCCCGTCCGGTGAGAGGACCCCCCCCGGCCCGGCCCTCACCAGGCAGGCGGCCAGGACGCCTCGCAGCGCTTCCAGCCGCTCCTCATCGCTCTCCTCCCCGCGGAGCAGCCCCTCGATGTAGGCGCCGTAGACGGCGCGGTCGAGGCCCAGCTCCTCCAGCCGCCCCGCCAGCCAGGCCGCGAACCCACCCTCCGCCGCCTCCCCACCGGGCGCCGCCATCTTGGAGCCGCGCCGCCTCCACCGCGCATGGCGGGGAGGGGAGAGGGGGCGCGACGGTGGCCGCGAAGGACAAACATGTGGCGGGGCCGGCGAAGCGGGAGGGAAGCACCCCTCCGTGCCGGCGGCCTCAGAGCGAGCGGGACCTGTGGGGTGGCTCCCGGTGTGCGGGAGCTCATTCCCCCTCAGAGGTGGCGAAGGAGGCGCGGTGCTTTCGCGGAAGGGGGAAGAGTGTCCCGACGCGGCCGCCGTAGCGCCGCCGCCGTTAGGGGCGGGGCGGGAGTTTAAACTCCCGCCCCGCCCCTAACGGCGGCGGCGCTACGGCGGCCGCGTCTCCCCTCACCTCAGGCCGCCATGTCGGGCCCGGTCGCCCCCCGGCCTCTCCGCGGGAAGTCCTTCTACCTCGACCTGCCCAGCGGGAGGGGTGCGCGGGAGCTGGCGGCCGCCATCGGGCGGCTCGGCGGGGTGAGGCCGGGCCCGCTGCCCTTCTCCCCTCAGGTTCCCCCTCACCTCCCCCCGCGCTGGGCACTGGTGAAAGGCCGAACCTCGAGTGTTGGGTTGGGGTTTTGGGGCTGGGGTGAGGCCGGAGAAGGGGGTACGGAGCTGGGGAGGGGGCTGGAGAACAAGGAGAAAGGGCTGGGGAACTTCTGAGGGAGCTGGGGGGGTTCAGCCTGGAGAGAAGGAGGCTGAGGGAGACCCCGACCCTCTCTCCGACTCCCTGAAAGGAGGGTGTAGCTGGATGGGGTCGGTCTCTTCTCCCAAGGAACAGGCGATGGGACAAGAGGAAATGGCCTCAAGTTGCACGAGGGGAAGTCGGTGATGGATATCGGGGAAGAATTCCTCGCTGAACGGGTTATCAAGCCTTGGTACAGGCTGCCCAGGGCAGTGGGGGAATCGCCATCCCTGCAGGGTTTTAAAAGATGGGCAGATGTGGTGCTGAGGGTTCAGGTGAACCTGGTGCTCCAGGGTCAGCCTGGAGAAGAGAAGGCTCCGGGGAGACCTTGGAGCCCCTTCCAGTCCCTCAAGGGGCTCCAGGAGAGATGGGGAGGGACTCTGGATGAGGGAGGGGAGCCCTAGGAGGAGGGGGAAGGGTTGGACCCTGCAAGAGGGGAGATGGAGCTGAGCTGTGGGGAAGAACTTGTTTGGTGTGAGGGTGGTGAGAGCCTGGCCCAGGCTGGCCAGAGAAGCTGTGGCTGCCCCATCCCTGGAGGGGTTCAAGGGCAGGCTGGAGGGGGCTTGGAGCAACCTGGTGTGGAGGGAGGTGTCCCTGCCCAGGGCAGGGGGTGAGACTAGAGGATCTTCAAGATCCCTTCCAACTCTAACCATTCTGTGGTTTAGTGGTGGTTTCGGCAGTGTTAGGTTATTGGTTGGACCTAATGATCTTAAAGGTCCCTTCCAGCCCAGACCATTCTATGGTTTGGCATGGTAATAGATCCACCCAGCCCCCCTTCCCAGTCTCTGATGGGCTTTACCTCGTCCCTGGGGAGCCACTCGAGGACGGAGGACATGATCCATTGCCTGCTGCTGTCCTCCCCTCCCTGCTGGCTCTGCCCAGGCCCCTCACAGGTTGTTGGGCAGCACAATCCCACTTGTTACCAGCTGCTACGGACACTGCTTGCTCCTGCCTTCCAGGGGGTGGCAACTGGTTGACTGGTCCTGACAGCATCTTCTGAGTGGTGGCAACTGGTTGCTTGACCATGAGAGCACCTTCCAGTCAGTGATAACTGGTTGCCCAGCAATGGGGAGTGCCTTTTGGGTGGTGGTAACTGGTTGCCTGGTTCCTCCTCTTCCCCTACGACAGCCTGTGGCAGTTTAATTTTTTTAGGTCGGATTGTGGGAGTTCCAAATGTTTCCTGGAATTCAACATAGGGGAAAGTAGGGTAATGCCTGCCAAGCCTCCTTTGTTACGTGGCTGTGAGCTTGTCCCATGGCTTTCCCAGAAGACTCGTCTGGACCCTTCCCCCCGTGAAGCTGTTGTTTGGGTGGATTCATTTGTGGCCTCTCCAGATCCCCCTGCTCACCAGTTCCTTATATCCTCTCCCAAAACTCTGCAGAAAGTAGTGTCACTTCAGTCACCTGGGATGGAACCGAGGACAGGGGCTGTGCCCAGCAGCTGGTCCTTCATCTCTTTCATCTTTCAGTTTCTGTATGACTCTTACATATTCATCTGTTCTAATAGTTGTTGCTCTTTGTTTTCAGACAGTTTCATTTCTCTGAGACACCCCAAAATTTCCTTCAATGCCACATGCAGGTGTAAAATCTTCATTTAGTCCTTGTTGCTGCTGTGTCTCTGCCGCCAAGATCATGTGCTGGCTGTAGAGACACGTGGAGAAGCTGACTCGTATTTATTTCCCTATTTTTTTTTAATCACACCCTCATGCTGAATTCACTGATTTCTTTTTCTTTCTGTCTTCCCCTGGATGTGCCATCAATACTCGGGGACACTCTCCTTCTTGTAGCATCTCTTATTTAGCTGTGCATCCTCAAGTCCTAGAACCGCTTGGTCCCGGGGGTCAGTTATGTCTCTGTGTAGCTGCTGCATTACTTGGAAATAATTTTACCCTTTTGACTGTCCCTCTTGCTTCTTATCAAACACCATCTCGGGTCATTTCTCTCTGAAATGGGGTCCAACAGAGTGGAGTTCTCGTTTTTGTTGCTCCTGTGGAGATACTGCACCACGGCCACCATCCATAAATCAGCTCTTTGACAGTAATATCCAACCCAGGCCCTGTGTGTTGTTCAGGACCAAGTTAAGGGCATCTTGTGGCCTTGGACTTGCACGTGGTATCTTGAACTTGGCCTTGACACAGGGTCGGTGATACTCTGGAGTGTTACTTGGACAGGGAGGTTGTGATTCACTCTGCTGTGCTTGCAGCCCCCTTGATCTCCCATGACATGGGTCACTGTTGCAGGGCAGCCTGCAGTGCCACCAGGACCCTTCACACGGGTGGGCCCGGGATCTCCATCCACAGGGATTCTGTCACACCGGCTCCTTCAGCGACTGCAGTTTCAGACTGCTCAGATCTTGGTCCTTCTGTGAGCCTCGTACCTGTGTGCTAGTGCCCTGCGACTGCCTTCTGCTGGGTTTCTGAGAAGCCGACTGTTAGTATCCCAAATCTTGGGTTTCTACCTCTTCCTTGGGCTTCCAGCTTCTGTGCAAAGTGGGGTGTGTGTGTTTTGGTTTCTAGTTCTCTCTTCCCTGTTCTGTGTGCAGCTGCTTGTCCCAGCTGTTTGCTTTCTACTTTATTTTGCTAAAGTGTGTTCTGTTCTCCTGAGAACAGAGCTCTTCCACGCTGCTGAGTGATGTCCAGGGCCTTTTTCTCAGCTATTGCTTTTCCTCTGAAACCATTGCTTGGGGAGTAGATAATGGTAGAGAGCGTCATGGAGGTCTCCATCTGAAGGTTCTGGTGGTTATTTGCAGTGTATCTTTAGGGCATCATGGGATCTCCTCTCCTGAGAGACACCAGTAAGGGCTGGAAGAAGGAGCTACTTGTAGAGATGAGTGCTTCCAGCAGTCCCTTAACTGTGTGTGGGGCGGAGCTGAAGGCAGCAGTTCTTGTTTAGCAGGACTCTTCCAGCTTGGAGTTGGGCAGTTTCAGAGCTGCTCTGTTCTGTCTCTTGCTGCAGGTGACTGAAAGCTTCCTGAGCAAAGAAGTCAGCTACGTGGTTTCCAGCAACAAAGAAGCTAAGCGAGACCAAGCCAGGGCTCGGACTGAGAAGCAGAGCAACGTAACTTCAGAAGATGCAAAATGCACGAGCCCAGTGCCCTCTACCTCCAAAGGGAACCGTACGAGGCCTCACCACAAGCCACCAGACACAGTAAGATCTGTAAAGGTTTAGGCCACCTCAAAGTTTGGCCCAAGGGATCTATAGAGTAGAACCCGAGACCAAGTGTTGGAAGATGAAGTTGTTCCTGCCCTGAGCAAACACGTTGAGCGGGTTTTTCTCCCCTGGTCTGGCTGTTCATATTCATACCCACCTTCCTTGTATCTGCACATCATTGTCCGCTCAGGTGTGTGTGTCACAGCTTTGAGCTGCTAAACAAGGATATCTGCTCAAGTGGCAGAGGAAATAGAGGGGTTGGCTGGCTTCCCCACAGAACAGGCATCGTCCTGATGCAGAGGTGTGTCTAGAGAAGCCAGGGGGATGTAGACCAGACAAACCCATCACAGGCTCTGGGTGTGTGCTCACACACACAGGTAGGGCAAGGCCGTTGTGACTTGGCGGAGATCTACAAGGGCAGCTGGCAAGAAGGGATTCACCCTGTCAGAGCTGGGCTTTCTGCTCAGTGGAGCTTGTGGCCAGAGGTCCAACATCCTGCGTTGAACGCTGGTGTCCGCTGGAAGCTGTGACTGTAGGGAGAGCCCCACGGGTGTTTCTGCCAGATGGATCTGGGCTGCAGGAGGGGAGCCTGGGCTGATATTGGGGGTTTCACGCAGCGTTTGTTCCCCTGTCCTTGCTCAGCCCTGCCCCTTTGTCTTACAAAGAGCTTAACCTATTTGCTGAAATCATTGGCTCACAAAAGCGACCCTGGTCCCAGGAGGAGGGAGTGAGGGTGTCCCTGACCTCCGCCAGCCCCTGGGACGTGCCAGGCAGCGGTTCTGAGCCGAGTCGCTGCTTCCTCTTGGCTCACTCTGGAGCATTCACTGCTCTTCCATAAAAGCCAAGCCTTGGCTGAGCAGCTGCTTAGTGGAGACCTAATGGGTGCCGCTGCGGTCTGCGTTCTCTGGAAACGCGCCGTCCTGCTGTCTGTGAGATGAGGTCTTGGCCAGACTCCCCTGCCCAGCAGAGAGTGGGTATCACTAGAAATCATCTGTACTGGGCAGCCCTGCTGTCCTCAGCCTGCCTGCCTTGTAGCTCTTTCACTTCAATGAAGTACTCACCTTCTTCCTCTGCAGGCCCTGATCAGCAGGGGAAAGGAGCTGCTGCAGAAGGCCATGAAGAATCAGGTGAGCAGCGTGCGACGGGCTCTTGTCTGGCTGGGTAGGTTCAGAGTACTGCTGAGCAGTGTGGAACCAGTGCCAGCCGCTGCTCCCGAGCCCCTGCCTGCTGAGGAGAGCAGATTCTGGGGCTGGTAAAGGTACGAAGCAGTTGCTTGTGGCTCTGCAGAATATTGTGTGGTGCTCCTGGGCGCTGTTCTTCATGGAGCCATGTCATCCGTCCACGTTAAGTCCCTCCAAGGCCTGTCCTGGTGCTGTGGATGCTCAACTCAAGAGCACTATTAACACAAAGACCCATTGTTAGATGAATTTTTAGCCCAGAAAGAGCTAAAGCTGGGGCAAAAGGCTCCCCTGCAGTCCTTTGACTGATATCATAAGTGGCCAAAAAAAAATCTCAGTGCCCACTTAGAAGTTCATGCTATAGCAGGGATTAAAAATTTGACCTAGATGCTACTGTTAATTTGGGGTAGATAAAGCACGAGCTCGAACCTTTCCTGCTGTGCCCTGATTTTAATAACAGCAATGCAATGGTCTGTCAACTGGGCAACAGGAAAATCTCTCTAAACTAGATTTGGAGCTGCATGTGCTCACGCAGCATCTCTGCTTCGAGCTGTACCTTGCCAAACCCCTCTGTTTTACAGGACACCTGCAGTGGCAGCAGTATCCTCGCCAACGCTCGCCTGTGGGGAGTCCAGATCCTGCACGTGGATGGTATCCTTCTCTGTAAGCTGAAATTTAGCTGTGGGTAATTAGTGGTTTTTTGGAGACAGGTGGAGCAGAAGTGATGTAGGGAGTGTGGAACAGGAGGAGGAGGAGATCACAAGCGGTACCTGGTACTTGGCTGGTGCCGTCCTGTCCGCGGCTGGGGCTGCCCTTCAAAAACCAGATTTATTTCCCTGTGTAGAACATGCTGCTGCCACAGTTACAGCAGCAAATGCTGAGTGTATTGTGATGTACTATTAGAAAATGTTAATAGCTTGGTCAGTGCATTAATTTGGTCCAAAAAGACCATTTTTATTAATTGACCTGGAAGTCCAGATCGTGATAATGGCAGGATTTGGTGGTTTTTAATTAGGAAGTGCTGATGTTTGAGGACCTGTGCTGGAAGGCGCTTCCTGTCTCGGTGATGAATGGGGAGGGGGTGATGGGAAAGACAGATGGTGAAACTCTGATTCTAATAATAGGTCTGGAGTAAAAGGTTCCTGAGTGCCCGATGACAGTGACATACAGCCCTGGCTGAGCCCGTCTGGGTGCGCGGTGCAGGCGCCGCTGCTCCTCCATGTTCCTGGGCAGCCAAACCGCCCGTCAGGGCTTTCTGGTGTCAGGGGCTGCAGGATTCCAAACAGTGTCTCCTTTCTGCAGGGACTTAAAGCCAGACTCCAGCTCTGCTAAAGAGCAAAACGGGGTGCTGTCCCTCAAAACACTCTTTCTTGAACAAATTACTGGTGCTGTGGTGGGTGGTGGCAGTGCTCTGTGCTTTTCCCCATCGTGGCCGGGGGGTCAGGCCGGTGCTGCAGTGGTGGGGGGGAACAGCTCACTTTCTCTGGAGCTATGGCTCTTTGACATCCCGCCTGCGCAGAAATGTTGTCGTACGCCCAGCAGCTGCTGCGCGCCGTCTCGGGAGCCAGGAAACGGGGGCAGAAGACAGAGGTAACTGACCTGACTCTGGTCCCATTTGGGATGCTCGGGGTCCCTCAGTAGCTCTGGGCAATCCTTCTGGCTCTGGTGCTAACGGGCTAGTAAGCAGGGGGATCTCCTGGGGTTTTCACCCAATGCTGGGCTTCAGTTTATTGATGGAGATGTCAAAATTCCAAAAACTTTTTCTTTTATAAAGTGGAGGTAAAACCAGATGAGAATGGGGCAGCCACTAGTTATCAACTTATCTGTAGCACAGCTAATACTGAGTTTGACTTGTGAGGATCTAAGGGTAAAACAAAAATCATAATGTGGCTGCTACACTGGCTGTCTGAAGCGTTCCTTAGTGCCTTTGAGAGGTCAGCAAGAAGGTAGGGCATAAGATCAGAGAGTGGCAGCCCATATATTGTATTTAAAGTAACTCTGGGTAACTTGGGAGACAAAATATCAGGGGGAGGTGCTATACTCTCTGATGGAGGAGCTCTGAAGTGGTGGGTGAGGCTGCTGTAATCTCTGTGCTGCTGGGGGATCGGTAATTACCATTGTGCCTGTGCTGGCTCCCATGCTGAATATGTCACTCTTGCCTTTAGGTGAAATCCCTTGCGTCCGGATCAAAAATTCACAGAGGTAGGTCTGGAAGCTGCCCTCCTATTTACCCGGGGGTGCGGGGCTGCTCGAAGAAGCCTTGTTTAGAATTTGAAAATCCATCTGAAACTTCAGCAATCCAAAACACGCCAACTGTGAAGGCAGCTTCTCTCGAACGGGTTTTGTAACTCCCTGTCTGAGTGGAGCTGCAGCCTCCTGGTGCAGCTGAGCACGTCCTGCCTTGGATTTCAGGCAGGGCTTTTAAAAACCCCATCAGCCCTTTGCAGCTCCCCGAATCCCATCAGCAGCTTGGGCTCCCCGAATCCTGCTGCTGGCACCGCGCGCTGAACCCGCTGGCGCAAACCAAGTTTCGAAGAATAATGCATCCTACAGAGGAGAGCGTGTTCCTCACAACCCACTCACTTCTGTTAGGCTGAAATGTGCTGCTGAGACACCAATCTAGGGATAACGCTTCCAAAGGAGGAGGGAGGAGGAGGGGGGGGGGGGGAAACCAGGTTCTCATCTGCATTTAGACAAGAGCCAATTGTGGTGCTGACATTGGCACCGGGGATGGGAGTTAATTTGTGATTTGTTTGACTTTGCTCGTCGGAGAGGGAACGCTCAGTGATGTCTCCGAGCAGATTCCAACCTGGATTCTGTGTGTGACACGTGGAAGGTTATTTTCCAGTTTGGGGTGAGGGGAGGGAAGATGGTGGTGGGGGGAGAAAAAAAAAAAAAAGGCTGGAAAAGCTGTGGGATAAGGCAGCTTGTGTGCTGCAGGCTCAGAGCTCTGCACCACGGCACACTCCGAGCCCTGCCTGGGGACGTGTGGTGACAGCTGAGACGTTTGTCACCGTTCAGCGCTCTGCCACGGGAGCTGGGGGCCTGCACACCCCTCTCAGCTTTATCTGGGGCCCTAAACGTGGCCTTGCTTTCAGAAGTGCTAAGCATTTGGCAGCATTTACTTGGAAAAATTGATCCTGTAACTTAAATAGCTCCTTTAGTGACGTAACAGCACATTTGCTGCAAGCGCAGGATGAGGCTCGAGGAACTGACGGGTGAGGACGGGGGGACTCAGCCTCTCTGGAGGTTAAAATTTCTTTGGAGAAAATAGCACTGAGCACCAGGACTGCAGGAAAACAAATCTCCTTGCCTTTCAGGGGCGGTGAGGGAGGCCCAAGAGGTTTGGTTTCAGGGTCAGGCAGGCGCCCTGTGGGAATACCTTGGTGTTCAGTTGTTTCTTGACCGATCCGTACTCGGATTTCCAGGCTGAGCGTAACGTTATCACTCCTGAGAACAGACCTGAGAGGCAGAAGGGACCCGGTGCCTCTTCTCCCGGCCTGGCTCCGAAAACCTTTTCCCTGAGTGCGCTGTTGAGGTTTTCTTCTGCTCCCTTAATATACATTATGCCTCTGTAGGAAGCGTAGCTGCTCTTTGCCCTCCTCAGGGACCAAGCCAAGGCCAGATCCTGCTCTTTAGCAGTGTTCCTGTGCCAGGTCTGGCTCTGCAGCACCTTGGTTTGTCTCCAGCAGCTCTGACTGCTTTGACTTTACTGTCCTGACCTGAGCCTTCTGAGCTGTTGTGTAAAGGAGAAGGGAGGAAGGGGTGCTGGAGGGGTTGATGTGCTCTGTGCTTGTGCAAATGCTGCTCCAATTGGTTTCTCATAAACTCGTCTCCTGTACTTGGAGGGGTGTTGTGTTGAGGATGTGTGACAGGTGCTGGAGAGGGTCCAGAGAAGGGCAACGAAGCTTGTGAGGGGTCTGGAGAGTAAGTCTTATGAGGAGAGGCTGAGGGAGCTGGGGGTGTTCAGTCTGGGGAAGAGGAAACTGAGGGGAGACCTTATCGCTCTCTACAACTCCCTGAAAGGAGGGTGTAGAGAAGTGGGGGTCGGTCTCTTCTCCCCAGTTACAGATGATAGGACAAGGGGTAATGGGTTCAAGTTGCACCAGGGGAGGTTTAGACTAGACATTAGGAAACAATTCTTCACAGAGAGAGTGGTCGGGCATTGGAATGGGCTGCCCAGGGAGGTGGTTGAGTCCCCATCCCTGGCTGTGTTTAAGAGCCATTTAGATGTGGTGTTGGGGGATATGGTGTAGGGGAGAACTTTAGAGTAGGGTGGATGGTTGGACTCGATGATGCCGAGGGTCTCTTCCAGCCTAGATGATTCTGTGATTGAGGTCAGAACTGGAAGGTTGGGGTCAGATCACTGGCTGATCAGAGTGAGCAGATGCTAAAGGCGCACGGGGCTTCGCTGGGTGGGCCTTCCAAGGTGGAAACAGCGCACAGTTGGGCTGCCTCCAGGGTTTGGTCACCCTAGGGGATGCTCTGGAGGTGAGGGCTGTAGTAGATTACCCAAAGAGCTGGTTTGGCTGCATGTCCTGTCACTTGGCATTCCTGAGTGTTGGGAGTACTGGTGAGCGTGGCTCTGTAGCCCGGTTCCATTGGGGAATGAATGAATAAGGAGGGAATTTGGTCAGAGCAACTTCTAACCAGCTTGCTTTCCAGCAGGAAAACTGAAGCCCCCTTTTCTGAAGGTTGAAGACCAGAGCAGGTAAATGAGACTTTTCTCAACATCAAGGCCAAACTATATTAAACCTCAGGGGCTTCCAGGGAGGGAATCCTGTATCCGTTCTGTTTGCTTGTGGGGCAGTGAATATTCTGTCCGTGGGGCAGTGAATATTCTGTCCGTGGGGCAGTGAATATTCTGTCCGTGAGGCAGAGCGTGGCTTCTCTGGAGACCCTGTTACACACGGGGAAGCTGACCCTCTCCTAGAGGGAGGCAGATGGAGTTGAGAGAAACAATCTGGGTGGCTCATGTGTCATGGGGGGGAAAAGGTGTTAAACGAGACTCCACAACAGAGTTTACTTCCTCTCTTGGGCTCTGTTTGTGATCCTCAGCGGGTCACTTAATCTGCTCCAGCCCTCTGAGATGAGGAAAGAGATTGAAACGCATGAGGTCAGGGCCTGTAACTTGATTACAGCCTCCAGCACAGGGGGATCTGATCTCTCTGGTGTTTCTAACAACTCTGTAACTCTAACAGTATCCCGAGCACTAATTAATTATTCTGAAGACAACATTTAAGGCAGCTGCAGAGTCAAATATTAGGTTTTACATGCTGCAAGCAATAAAGTGTGAAGAGAGAGATGTGGTCTGGGAACCCAAACCTTCCCGTGCTGCCGTGGCTGGAAATGCTGCACTGGCTGCTGCCACCACACCTGAGCAGCCCAAAGCATGGCCCCACCAGTGCTGTTACTGGGAATGGGGTTTAGTCCTTCCAGTGAGAAATGGGAAATCTCTGGAGCAGCCAAGTGAAAGGACAGCCACGGGCAGTATCTCATCACAAACAAGGTGGCACCTTGAGCCCCTCTGCAGGAGGGACTGCTGTCTAACCGTGCTGTCAGAAGTCTCATGTCCTGATCTGCTGCTTTCAGGCAATTCCGGCCCTTCCATCACCAGTTCAAAACCTTTCCCGACCTGAACTTCCTGGCACCCAAAAGCTCCAGCCCGTTTGAGCCTCTGAAAAACCTCTCGAACTCTTGCAGAGCCAGGTAGGTTGTAGCTCCTCCGGCACAAGTTTTTAACACAACCCCTCTGCCAGCTGCTGCCCTGCTGGTTCCTGGGATTTAGGGAACCCATTCTCTTCTGGATGTGGGGGAAAGAAGCCCTGTTCTGGGTTAAACAGAACCTTTCACAGGTAGCTGGGTACCTGCTGGTGCTGCTGAGTAAGGGCAGGGCAGATGTTTGCTGTGTTTGCAGGGGTGCAGAGGGCTGTCCTGTGCCCAGCGACGGGGAGAAGAGCCCCCGATCCACGCCGGTCACCCTGCCAAAAAAGAAGAGAGGATTTTGTGAGTGCTGCCAAGAGACCTTCGAAGAGCTGCAGAAGGTAAAGGTTCCACTGGGACCTGGTTGAAAAAGTTATGGGGACCACTGGGCAGCTTCATTAATTGTGATGTGCCTGTTACCAGTACAAGCAAAGGGAGGCAGGTTGCTGGACCTCCAGCCTTCCTTATATTGGGGGATCACTCTTGGAGATTAAAGCCATAGTATATCTGGGCTCTGACCTCCTGGTCTGGGCAAACAGTGGTTTTGAAGATTGGATGCTCATCTCCTGGGCAAGGAAAGCCTTCAGGATTATCTTGTGCTCTCGTCTGTGAGGTGGGAAACCCATTCCATGGCAGTCAGAGAGGGCGGGGGGCACAGGCTGATTTTAAAAGGTGCAAAGAGGTGGGTTTTTTAATCTCCTGGAAGACGCCAAACAACGAGGCTCTCAGAGCCCAGCTTTTAGTGATAGACAGTGCGTGTTTGGAGTCTGCATTTTCTCCAGCTGCTGGGGAAGCTGTGGGCTGCTGTTCACACAGCCCAGCCTCCTCCCCAGCGGGTGTCTATGGGAACAGAACTCTCCCCGTAAGCAACCGGGGAGCGGCCCTGCCTGCCTTCCCAAACCTGCTCCCTAACAACAGCTCTGCTGCTGAAAGGCTCTTTGGGAAGTGGCTGTTGCTACAGATTTCCCTCCTGTGAAGGAATACGTGTTGCTAAAAGGGTCTCTGCTCCTTCCAGCATCTCCAGAGCCCCCGGCACAAGCGGTTTGCGCTGGACGACTCGCAGTACGCTCCTGTGGATCGTGTCATCTCCCAGCTCACCAACAGCTTTGTGGAGCACTCAGCTGAGTAAGTTTTTGCGAATCTGGGAACTCCTGGAGCTGAAAAGCAGCACAGTGTCACACAGCACACAGGGGATGGGGCCCGAGTCTCCGTGCTGTGACACTAGTCCCTGTGCCAGGGGATCGGTCAGTGGGGAGCAGGGGCATGTGGCTGTGAGTGCAGGACTGACCTGGCACCCACCAGACAAGGTTTAGATGAGCTGTGGGAGATGTTTTTCTTAAGTTTATGTGGCTTCTCTGCTTCAGGGAAGTCCCTGTGGACTTCTAGTGCCCCTTAAATGAGAAAGGGCAGCTGGGCCCATCTCTTCCATCCCATGTCTGAGGCAAACCCCACTGCTCTGTACCACCCCTGAGCCCAGACCCTGGGCTGCTGAGAAGGCTGAGACATCCCTCATGCTGCCAGTCTCCCCTGTAGCTGCAGTGTCACTGTCTGAGCCTCACTGTTCAAAAATTCCTGACTGTCCTCTTAGCAAGGGCTTCAAACATCCTGCGCTGCAGAAACTGCTGTGTCTCACTGCGGGGAGGGTGTTGCTGGGCCTGGAGAGAGTGAGCATTAACCAGTGGTTCTTCTTAGGGCGCCGAGGTCCTGCCTGACAGATGAACGCTCGGTGCCTCGAGCACAAGTCACTGGAGGAATTGAGATTCTGACAGCAGAGCTGGGAAAGGAGTGGCAGCGGCCTGAGCAGGGAGCTGTGGAACCGGTAATTGATGTGGAGCACGATTGTGGCCTGAAGACCAAGGGCTGCTCCCCTTGCTGGCTCAGGGTCAGTGATCCCAGAGAAGGAGGAGGGCCATTGGATGGCTCTGGGGGGCTGCCTGCTGGGGCAGGACTTACTGGAGGGCTCTGTGCCATGCGTGGCTCTGTGGAGGAATCTGTGGTGGGGGACACAGACTCGGGCTTGGCTCCTGGCCCGGCTGCAGTGGCCACTTGTGCTGTTGCTTCTTCATCTGAACCTCACAAACTGCAAACACTCGGGTCTATCGACCATCCTCTGCAAACGCTGCCTGCCTGCAGGAAACGCCAGCTCTCAGCAGAGAGCAGCCAGGTGGAGAAGAAGCCCAGGCTGGAGCTGGGTGGTGGCCTCTCCCCACACAGGAGCCCCACGGATGGTGGGACGGGGGTGCAGGGCGCAGGACCAATGTCTGAGCCAGGCCTGCCTGGCACGGTGGAACCTGACAGCTTGCCCCGAAGCACAGAGCTCTGCAGCAGACCTCGCAGCTCCCTTGGTCTGGAGCTGTGCCCGTGTGGAGACCTTGGGGACCCCGCGTCACCGTCAGGTCCCCTTGAAGCTGCCTCTGTGGGGTTTGGTCCCCCAGAGGCTGCTGTCAGCGAGCAGGGCCGGAGCGGAGCCAACGCCAGTTCCCAGGGGAAGCAGCTCATGGGGGAGAACGAAAACACACCCAGAAACGTGGATAGTCCTCATCTGGAGAGCACAATGAGCAGCTGTCCTGCTGGCCACTTGCCTTCTCCAAAACTGCCTGTGGCTGAAGCCAGATGTTCCTGCTCACTCGGTGTCACAACAGCAGAAAAAATAGCCCCTGAACGACCCGACCTCCTGGGCCGCGGCCGAGAGCGGGCTCCGAGCGCCGGGCTCCTCCAGCCCCTCCCGCAGAAGGCACGGGTTGACCACAACTTCAGCAAAAGCTCTTCTGAGTCAAACTGGGATGTCCAGCTCCTCTCCACGCTAACGGGTGGCCAGGAGGGCAGGATGCAGCCTGTGGACAGGGACTTGCTCCAAAGGACACATGTCAACCTGAGGGACAGTGGGTACGAGTCTCAGCTCTGCTCGGTCCTGAGGCAGGAGTCGGAGCTTGGCTGGGCAGGCAAAGAGGACAAGAACTGCCGGAACTGCTGCACGGAGACCCAAGGAGCCTCTTTCCCCACGTTTGAGACCTGTTTTGGCAGCTGGACTAGTTAAACCCACCTCCTGGGCTGTTCTCTGGGCCCTGAGAGGGAGCTGGGAAGTGCTTGGAAGGGAATTTAAGGAGCCACCCTCCCTGTCAGGACCAGGAGGTACAGCCGGGAGCCGGAGTGGGGACCCTCGGCTGCACGGTGGTCTCCAGACAACCTGGGCAGGTCTCTCTTGGGAACTGCTGGGTGATGTGGTGGTTTCACTGTCCTCGGGTCCACCAGGGGCTGGGGTCTTCCCTGCTCTCTGCTGGTAACGTTCAGAGCCGAGAGCTTCCTTCTTTATCTCCTCACTGGGCTGCTGACGTGGGCTTTCTCTGGAAGCACCTTCAGCAGGACTGTGCTCTTTGCCCTTCCAGCCTGAGAGCGTGGCCTGATCCTCCTCTCCCTGGTGGGGCAGATGGTGGAGGGGAGGGCCCTGGGGCTGAGACCTGTGTTCTTCACATGGTTTGGGGGGTTGTTGGACATCCTTGAGTATTTACAGATGTTTGTAACTGGTACTAAACTATTGGTTTTTAGCAAACTTTTAATTTTTGAAATAAAATGGAAGGTGAGATCCTGCTCTGCTGGTCATTGGGTAAACCTGAAGCACAGATAACTTATGTGAAACATCCATCAGTTGAGGCCAGGTGGTGGGTGGGCAGAAGATTTGTTGGAAAGGGTCTCGGAGTGACGGGGAGCAGGCTGAGTCTGAGACAGGGGTGGCTCTGGTCACATAATGTCCCTCTGTCCATGGTTTGCCCCGGGCATGTGGCTGTGGGACACCCTGGTACCCAGCACAGGGATGGCCCTGGGCACAGGGGGATGTGGAGAAGCTGGAGAGCAGGCAGTGGAGACCATTGAGCTCACCTGGACACGGGGCTGAGGAGAGGAGACCTGGGCTGGGTTTGTCGTGCCAGGAGGAGGCTGAGGGGTGTCTAAAAGCAGCCTGTGACTTCTGGAAGGGTGGTTCCAAGCAGGATGGAGCCAACCCTTCAGTGGGGCCAGATGTCCCAAGCTTGGGCTTCCCGGGTGCAGGTTAGGAAAAGGAAAAGCTCCCTGGCCAGGAGAGGTGTCTGTCCCTGGAGACTTCCCAGCCTCAAGTGAAGGACAACTGTCCTTCTTCACTCCAGGCTTGAAGTGAAGCTGAGCAGCTGTAGAAGGAAGCCCTGCTGTCAGCAGGAGGCTGGATTAGAAGCTTCAGAGGGTCCTCCTGAGCTAATTCTCCAGTGCAACAGCCGAACTTTGGCTCTAATTTCCCTAACGAAGAAGTTGAACAGGTTAACGAAGGGCTGAGCAGAGCATCTGCAGGGCCTTGTCCCCAGCAGAGCCCCATTCCTGGTGTGGGTCAGCTCCAGCCTCGTCCCTGGGAGAGAGGTGGGAACGGGCTTTGGTGCATCAACTGCTCAACATCTCCATGGTGTTTTCAGGAGGCAGCGACCGGCTCTGTGACCCCAGACAGCACAGAGGGGTGACCTGGCCAGCAGGTGAGCCAGGAATAGGTCCCTGCAGGCAGTGTCCAAAACTCGAGGTGCTCAGTTGTCCCCTGCAGGGAGTGGGTCACCCCCTGGCAGTGCTCCTCAGTGGAAGAGGCCATGAGCTTCCCTGGGGCGTTGGCAGGGATGGCAGTGTGACATCAGCCCAGGGCTGAGCTTGGTTGTCCTTCACCAAGCATCGTTGTCCTTCACCAAGCTTGGCCCTTCCATGGAGGGAAGAGGGAGCCCTGGTTGATGCCTGAGCCCTCCCAATGTTGGCCAGTGACCTACATCATGGAGGCCCTGGTCTTGGGGACTGCAGGAGCTGCTCTGGGGATCCTTGGGGTCTTGGCCTTGGGTGAGTTGTTCTTGCTGTGGATGTGCTTGCTGTTGTCTGGTGTAGACCCCCTCCTGTGAAGTACCTTTGGGACTTGTGGTCCTGAAGCCCCCCAGGAGAGGCTGGTGGCCTTGCAGACCTCCCTGTGGTGCCGAGCGGCTGCTGGATCAGGTCGGTGCCGCAGGTTCCTCACCTCATTTGCTGCCTTTGTGGTTAATTATTGCACGGAGGATGATGAAGGCTTAAGGACAGAAGATCATGGCTTCGAAGCCCTGCCTGCCCTGGGCCGAGCTTCAGGGAGGGCTGATCAAGGGCCGGGTCTGCCCTGGAGGAGCCATTTGGCCACCAGCAGCCACTGTGGCCAAGGAGATGATGGGCATCTCCCAGAGCTGGTTCCCCGTGGAGCTCTGTGACCGTGCCCACGTGGGAGCTGCTTCCCCGTGCACACACGTGTGTCAGCCCCCGTGCTGTGGGGGGACATGAGCTCCCCAACCTGAGCATGACCTCGTGGCAGCTCCCCTCTGCCAAAACCAGCCTGGGGTGACCCTGTCCCCTCCCTCTGCTGCAGGTTTCTGTTCGTTAAGGCTCTATAGAGTGTTGATGGTAATGAGGTGAGGGCAGAGCTCGGGGGGGGTGGATGGAGGAGAGTTGGGGCTTGTCCCCCTCCCTGTCCCCGACCTCAGGCCTGTCCCTGTCCTGGCCCATCTTCCCTCCTGCCTCTGAACATTTCTGCACCCCCATTTTTGCACAAAAGTGATGAAAAGCGAAGCAGCTGCTGTTAGCGAGGGTCTCACGGTGGTTTTTGGGTGGGCAGGGAGGGGGCCCGTGGCTCCACCACAACCTCCCCCCCTTCAAACACTCAATAAACTTCCCGGCAGGTCAGGCCCGGTGCTGTCTCCGGTGGGTTTGAGCTGCCACCGGGTCCCCAAAGGCTCTTGTCACCAGCGGGCACATGAGCCCGGGGGGGACGGGAGGGGGCACGGGGGTCTGGAGGAAGGTGCTTGGACAAGAGGGAGCTCCGTGGGGAGGGGGGGCACATGCCATCGGGGCTCCTTGATGCCCCTTGCAGAGGGGGTGGGTGCTGGCACACACAGGGAACCCTTTCTGGGGTTCATGGTGGCCATGGGAGGTGGGGGGGGGGAAGG